ATAAATACACTACATCCTCTACTTAATGAACCTATTAGCACATTTTTCCTCACACATCCAGTTATTTAACAAAGCGGTATGGCACTATTTCCAGAACCCATTTCAAAGACGGCCTCAGCTGTCGAAGCCACAGCTTTTTATATTAACATTACATTGGGCCACATATGTCTGTATGGCACAATAGCCTAGTATCATGTTTCCAGTTTCCCAAAACCACAGTCCTAAGACGAGATCCAGTGTTTATGTAATGAACAAAAAGTGGCAAAACAAAACATATATGGAGCCTACAGATATGAGCTTTCTATTTCAGTGCGTTTCAGTCCTCAGTTATGGTTCATTTTGAGGGTAGATTATTCAGTCCAGGACATGGGGGGAAAAGGGTTTGGTCCGTTCTCTTCGATTCGGATTTGACGGCTTCATCCATCAGAGTGTAAGCGGGGTCGACTCACGGAGACTTTCAGGAAGTAAACAGTTCACAGCTGGTTGGAAATCCCTGGCAATGTGATTTTGTGATATAATTCCAAATCACTCTGCCAGGAATCCCTCCAGCTGGTCCATTGATGAGATGACCAGGAGAAAGTGAGGAAGAAAACCAGCAGCTAACGTAATAGCCTGCCAGTAAGCACTGGTGACACACGCCGTTCCTCACTGCTGTGGTATCGCACGTCTCTTGTTTCACACTCACGGGGATAATTTGCCCAGGCTCACTCATACTCTTGAGAAAACAGACTTTGAATGGAGCCATAGTGTCTTCTGTTTACACGACCCTGGGTCTTCTGTGTGTGTGTGTGTGTGTGTGTGTGTGTGTGCACCTTAGCCGTTAGATTCTGTTGACAAGAGTTGTCCTCTCGCCAGCAAATTGTTACCATCTTTAGCCAAGTATGATCCACACATCAAAGGGTTTACCCTGTTAAATGGTGCTCATCATGTGGAATGAGTGTATCATATCAAGTGACTGACATAATGAGAAACACCGAAAATTGTCAGGGTCAGTGCAATGGCTACATAATAGAGTTCATTTTCCGCATGAATCATCGGGCTGTTGTTTCGTGCGGTGGCTCACGACATGGGGCCGTGATTGCAATCGGCCTCTGCTGCTCCTCTCATGTCCGTGGAGATGTTGCGATTTTTCATCACTGTGACTGTAACCAGAAACTAATTGCATTAGAGGCCACATTAAAAGCCAGAAGCCAGTTGTCTGAACTAAATGCAAATGGATGTTTTTACAAAGAGCTGTTTTCTCTAGTAGTCCTTAGCTGGAGCCTTTATTACTGGGTTATGGGTTTCTATTATGAGGGTGCATGTCATATTGGCAACTGTGTGTGAAATTCACTGGGTGACTTAAAATGAAAGAGGACGTGTTGCTCTGTCCCTAGACAACTGCATTTTGATATTTCTTTACATGGACATGTGAATCTCTGATTTGGAAGCATGGCGTTTTCTTATGATGGTAAACTCACCCAAGTCTTCTTATTTGAGATTATCTCCAGACAGGCATTATGGAAAGGTTCTGAAAGAAAGAGTGGGAGAGAGACTTTTTGTTCATTTTGAAAGCTGTTTGAATGTCTTTCATTATCTCTGAATGATGCATAGATGTTATGAAGCAGGCTGTGAAAAACGTCTCTTGTGCTACATGCACAGAACTCCTTCCAACAGGTTTTTTTTATAGATCATGCTTAGTAGCTACATTATATTTATTGTTTGAGTTTATTTATAATGCGCACTTATGATGCATCCCAAAGTCCCGTACAAGACAATTGCACACACACACGCACGCACGCATGCACGCATGCACGCACGCACACAAAAACTAAAATAAAAAACAGAATTTGTATATGTGTATTGTATTATAATATATTTAAAATATTAATTTAATGCTTTTTCAGTTTTCTGTGTAAAGCACCCATACACGCACACAAACTCTGAGTCTCATGCAAAATCTGGTTTTAATAATTTGGCCAGCTTGTTTCCCCCTCTTCATTAAAAAAAACAAAAAACAAAACAAAAAAAAAAACCAATGTGAAATGTCTCAAAGATTTAAAGCTGGCTTCAGATCTATTTATTCCAAGCTTGGATGGACTGTGCATACATAAGCATGTTACTTTTAATAGAGCATGCTGAATTGATTACTGTATTATAGCAATTTAAACAATTTACTCTACTATATGCATACATGTTTTTTTTTTTTTTTTTAATTTGTATTTTATATAATATATAAATTGACATGTAAACATTATGACTTTTGTGTTCATATGTAAAGTTATTTATTATTCTTTGTTAAAAAAGAAATAATGCAAATTTGTGTTTTATACATGAATTAGAAACGTCCTTAGTTATCCATTCTGTAATAAAACACTTAATGTCATTAGATGACATCTACAGATCTCGTAATTGTCCTATTTGTCAGTCAAGTGCGAGCTATTAGTCGTTTATCAGAGCCCTGTTACTGAGCATTCATTCAGAAAGCTCAGTGGTTTCAAGTGGGGAATCTGTGTTTTCCATTTCTCCTTGACAGCTTAATATGTGTTACTTAGTTCAGTTCCAGAGAGAAAGCTCACTGAAACCAAATAATTGTCACTTCACATTTGAAATGGCTAAAGCACCTTTCAGAAGCCTCATCAGTTCAAGACAATTAATGACTTTATCAATTCAAGTTCAGTTATATGGTCTAAAAGAGTAAATGCTATTAAATAAGAGAAGATGAATAGAATGAAAACTCTGTGAAGGAATAAAACATACATATTTCAATATAATAAATGCATGATTTAAAGATGTAAAAGCGTTAACCTTGTACAAGACTATTTTAATATAAGAGCCACTGGATGTGAGCTTGCAACATGTTTGATACGATGACTCATAACATAATGTGGTTTCATCAATGGCCATGTGAACAAAAAGTCACATTGCAGAGAGTTTGGAAAAATCAAGAAACTCTTGGCATGCTTTTTGCTCTTTTAATTTATTGTTCTCTTATTGGAAGATAAATGCACATATAATTTAATGTGCGTTACTATGCCTAGTGTCCAAAAAAAAAAAAAAATAAATAAATAAATAAATACACTTTTGCTATCTTTTCCCCATCACCCCCCAGGAGCATGAATTAAGATATCAATTTCAACAATGTTGTTGAAAATAACATACTTTTGGCTTTTAGTGCAGGTTATCTTGCTGTCATAATGTCTATCATCTACTCGCCTTGAGCTGCTGCAGCATGCCTCTGAAATTACGGCAATTGAGACCAGCTCTGGCACCATGTATTTTCTGCCTGCATCTAGTATTTGACACTGTTATGCCACAGGACTACAATCACAGGACTTGTGCTGCATGTCTGAAATAACGCCAGCAGCCCTCTCCCTTATGATTACACATGATTTTCATAGTCTCAGCTGTTATGGCTAGACGGCCTCAGGGGCAGCCCAGTACACACGTGATTGGTTTGGCTGCTCTGACGCCATTGCCTTGTCCTGGCGGGGAGGAAACACTTATGTTGACAAAGGGAGGCATTGCATGCTGGGAAGTGGGTGGGCGGGCTTCCCAAGCTGATGCTGCAGATAAAGTTGACTGTGTGCATGGTGCGTATGGAAAAGGCCCTTTGGCAGGGGGCTGGGGTTTAGAGAGGGGAACCGCAATGCAGATCGAGACCGAGACCTATGATGTTGAGCTGAGAAACTGAAGGCAAAGGTGCAGGACACCTTGATAACAACAACCTATTGCATGATCATCAATAAGCACACAAGCGCACGCATAGTAAGCTAGCAGAAAAAGCACCCAGTAAGAGATTAAATGTCCCCTGAAGCTTTGAACATCAAATCTGTTATTGAATTCTTTGGTAAATGTGGCTCTAGGTTCAATTGATGAACACATTCTGGAAATAATCAGGGGTATCAGTGATTACGCATCCAAAATGAGATTTGCTGGTTTCTAGAGGGTTACCTTCCTTCCAGGATTTTGTTACCACAGAGGTGGCACATTGCAATTACTTTAAGTGTACTTGAAGTACTTGTTTGTGACTTCAAGCAAACTGTAACTGATTGTGATATCATTAACCATCATTTTAATATGAAAGAGAAAAGATCAGGGTTTTGATTTACTGTCTATAAAACCATGTGATGTTTTTTGTTTTTCAGTTGTTTAAAATTAAGTATTTAGTTAATAATATTATTGCGCATGATTGAACTATAATTAGAACAATATTTTTCCTTCAATTTTTTTAATGTTATTGCAAATCTCGAAAAATACTTATCCAGTTTATTTCCTGTTTAATCACTTTTAATCAAAAGGTCAAGGTTTTGATTTACAATATAAAAAAGTTGTTTTTTTTCAGTGTTTTAAAATCAAGTATTTTGTTAATAATAAAAATATTATTGCACATGTTTGAATTATTAATGAGCACGATATTATTAATTCAAATTTTTAATGTAATCGTAAATCTTGAAAATACTTATCTAGTTTTTTTTCCCTTTTTAATCACGTTGAATCAAAAGGTCAAGGTTTTGATTTGCAATATATAAAGCCAAATGTTATTTTTATTTGTCAGTTTTTAATAAACTTTTTGTGTAATAAAAAATATATCACGCATGATTTAATTAATAATGAGAACAATATTATTCATTTTTATAGAATTTTTTTATAATCGTAAATCTTAAAAAAATGATTATCGAGTTTATTTAATCATATTGAATCAAAAGGTAATCTTAGAAACAGAGAATAACATAGTCAGAGGAATTTATCACAGTCTGTCACGGATGGTTTACATTTTCTTCAAAAAATAAATAAATAAATAATCACACCGAGGTTGAACCACATTTGCCAGAGTACTTGCAAAGACACTCTTCATTAACTAAATATCTAACAGGCCTTCAGCTGAAGGATCTGGAGGCATAATAACTTTGACAATTATTTACTACACAGCTGAGAGTGTATGCTGCATAACTTTAAAAATCGCTCTCTGAGGACACAAGAGGATGAGCTGAATCAGACTCAGATTAAATGAAAGCTTGGTTACATAAGCTAGTACAGCCCTTAAATAAATGTACTATGTCATATGAAAGGACAGAAAAACACTGAAGGTTTCAATAGACTGACTCAACACTACAGACCACGAGATTCTGCTTTCAGCCTAATGTGTTCCATGACATGGCTGTGAAAATGTACGGAATATTCTAGAATACGGTGTCCTGTTAGGATTTTTTTCTTCTGTCTTTGCCTCAAAAGAACACTGGGATACAGATCATTAAAGTGATAGCTAATTGCTGAGTTTTGGTTAATTAACCTGGCTTACTCTTGGCAACTGTACTTGCTGATTAGCAGCGCTGAGACAAGTAGCTTCAGCACTGCTTTCCCACGCATAAATGAAGGTAGGGAAAATTTGGGGACTTTATTGGACTTGGAAAAATGCAATAAAATCTCTCTCTGAATGCACCCATCTGTTGGACTTTAGAAGACTTCCTGTAAACAAGTCGTAGAGAACAAAACCTCTCACACCAGGTCTTTGCCCATAATTACCCTTTCATCTTTATTTTCCTCTTTTCTTTTTAGCCTGCTGTCTGCTTGCTGTCTTCTGCTCTTACTCACATTATCACTGTGACACTTAGCAGGGCCCTTGACATGGTGAAGATTTATTATGATGATAATGTTTAATTTCATAGATTCATACTGCTATTTTACTTGTCAAATTTTAAACCCTAAGCAATTAGCCACCTTCGTATCTCAGATGGGTCTAAAATGATTACTTAAGAATTTCCTTGTTTCCCACTTGGACAATGAAATTATTGTGATGCATTTTTATTTGAGTAACGTCTCAGTAATGTGGATCAATGTTCCTTATGTTTTTTGGGTTTTTTTCTTATATTTTGGAACTAATTAACATTGTTACTTACTTAGGCTGCCACTGTTGAGGAAATTAGTCATGAATCCTAACCTGATTTGTTCAGATATGGGTCGTTATGATGTAATTTCCCTTCCCCCTCCTCATAATTTGTTTGCGTGCATCATGTGCCATTTCCTTTCCCCTGCTCTAGTAGTCTTTCAGCTGCCAGGAAGGGGCATTTTCGTACAGTTACCCATTTACTGGTAGCAACACAACACAGACCGTTTTGTGTCCAGATTCCAGATTACCCCTGTTGCTTGTAATTTACCTGCAGGATTACAGGGTTTACATCCCAGTTTTATTTGACTTTCTGCTAGATTTAATTATTCTGAAAATTAAGAATATGACACAGTCGTTGAAGTGCATGACTCAAGCTATTTTGCTAGGCATCGCTCAGATCATTTAGTCCTTTAAGTCAGTACTCTGAAATAAAGAAGATCTCATTGGATAGAAGTTCTAACTACAATTAAAAAAAGCCACATTCTTGTTCTAACATGAATGTGGCTTTTTTTAATTGTAGTGAACATGGTATTAAAATTAAACTAAGCTCGCACGGACAGAACACATAATTTACACATAATTTAATAATTTGTAAGTTTACAAAGCTTTAGAAGTTTGTTAACTGGATTCATTACTTTTGCCTTTCATTCTTTTTGTTTGGATTAATTTCAAGTATGCAATCATTATTTAGAAAAGGCTTTTTATCATTATTTAGAAAAATATACATAGGTACATACTTAAATATATTTATACATTTAAGTATATGTTTGTATTTAATAGGTATATCTATTTAGAAATAGCAAATGCAATAAATTGGAAATTTAAAGTAAAATATAATTTTAAACACATTTGCATTGTAAACACATTTATTAAAGGTGTTTGAAATATATTTCTAATTTGAGAAAAATCCAAATATACTTTTTGAATTTACTTTTTTTCTCAGATCAACAGTTTATTAAAAAGAACTTTATCTGTTGGCATACATACAAATTTATATATTGGAATAATGTTCTGTATATTTACAATCTTTAAATATAATAGCACATCACATTTTTTTTTAATTTTAATCAACAAGTGCACAGAAATACTACAGTTTTTCCTTTAAGTGTAGAGTGTAAGTGTATGTGGCTGTGCATCGAGGCTCATTGATGTATGTGAGTAGAGTGCAGCTAAAGGCCCAGCGCACAGAACCTCGGCCACGCTGTTGTTCTAATCACGTCAGTGATGTCAGGTGGAAAAGATGGCTTACTTCCTCTCTCTCTGCCAGGACCCAACTGAAAGAGGCAAAGTAGCAAGACAAAGCACATGCTCAGGGTCTCTTAATCACGAGAGTGCCGGAATTAAATTACATATATTTTTCCTCCGCTGTCTTTATTTTTCTGTAAACACAATGAAAATTTTAATAACTGTAAACACAGATCTTTTCTTTTTATGACCCCTGTTTTTAGGGGAAAAAAATGAAATGTTTTTATTAAACCATGAAGCCTCAACAAATTGTAAGAAATATCAACAGAATCCGGTGGCTGTTAAACCCAATATAAATCCAGTTTCCCATGCGTTGGGAGTCTAACTGGAAGGATATAAAAGCATTGCTAAACTATGAAGTGTTTAACTGCATATTAAATTTTTGTTCGTATTTTCTTTTTAAAGCTTGTTTGATGTCTGCTTACAGTAAAACTTTATGTTGGAATTGTGGTTTCTAGCAATATGTGGGGTTAAATACAGGTTCCAGCATTAAAATCTCATTTCAAGCTCTATAAACACAGGCCCGTAAATGTCTCCCGCCATATTATAATGAGCAGCAATTTCTGATATTTAAACACCAATTTATGAGGGGGGGGAAATGCCAAATTTACACTTATTCTCTTTAAAACTGATGAACATGCAGACATTTAAAAGCAATAATGTAAATTTGAATAATTTTCCATGAATAATAAGCAAAATATATATTTTTTTAACATTTTGAAAAAAGTGCACTTATATTTTTTGCTCTTTTTATTGGATTTCTGTTCTCTAATATATACTATAGATTTCAGTCAGCAGTTTTATGTCCTTTAAATCCAACAATGAATGCCATTGTTTATGATTTTTCAACAATACTGGTCTGCTGTTACAAAATTGGCCATCTGTAACACTGGATTATTCTTTCTTTTTCATTTTTATATATCCCAAGCATTTGTGCTAAAACACTCGGACAGGTGAATGATCACAGAAACAATGCCATATGCAGACAAAGGGAATAAACCTGCCTCAAGGTTCAAGCCTGTAGTGTATAATCCAAAGGTTCGGGTCAAGCAAATCCAGAGGTAGCTGAATATGTTAATTTGACAAAATATTAATGCAACAGTTTTCTTGAAGGTTAGCAAACTGCTGCATCCCAAAATGAAAGAAAAAGAAAATCTAACTTTTGTTTTACTCACAATTAAGTCCGGGTGACTCGCACTCTCCGAGTTGAAATAAACCAAGACTGGCACTGTTGTGGCCGTGGCTGTGGTGATCCTCACAGCAAAGCGTGCAGGGCACCAGGGCCATAAAGAGCGTCCATACATGCGGAGACTGATCTCCACTGTAAGAGTCCTGAGCAAAGCTCTGCTCTACACTCCTCCTCTAGTCAGACTCAGGAATTGAAACGGAGGCGTACACATCATTCAGAAGTTTGTCTTTGAAAACCACACCCATCCCAGAGCAGAGAGAGGAGGGGAGAGGCGGCCTTTTCCTTAAATAACACCAGAGTGGAGAGGAAACTTATGTTTTCAGCCTCAAAACAAGCCTCAAAGGATCAGGCAGGAGGCTGTGTTTGGAAAATAAAAAGGAAACAGAAAGTTAGTGATATCTGAGGTCACACAGGAAGTTTATTTTAATGGGAGGAAGGCCCCTAAAATGAGGCTGCATTTGACTAATTACTTATTTTACTTAATCACAAAGGTTTTTCATTGATTCCACATGTCATAGATTTCGATTTTATTGTCATTTACATGCAGAAGTTCTCAAGATATCAATCTCCCAGGCTTGACAGCATATTATCATAATCTAATTATTCTGTCTTAAATTATTATTTATTATTCTGTCTTAAATTATTATTCTGTCTTAAATCATGCCTTGTTATTATCCAAAGCGAGAGCACAGTTTTAAACACACATGAGCAATGTTCTTTATGTTTAATGACTGACTTGTGTTTACAGCATAACTGTTTGTGTTGCTAGGTAACTGGCTTCTACATTATCATCTTAATCCAATCAGTCTCAGTCACAGCCCACTTGCGCTGAAACTAGATACATATCCACATCCATCAATACTTGTTGTATAGCTGTGTAAATGATGGCTCAAGTCATCTATAGTAGTGGTTCACAACTGGACCCAGAGCCATGTGGTGACCCAACATATTACCAAAATTGAATTTCAATGTTTCATGCTCTTGGCAGCCATTTATTCACTGCATAAAACTTATTGTGGTTGGCACAAAACTATGCCCTCGTTGCAAATGTTTTATGCATTATGGGTCATATTTTCTTTTACCTTGCGAGTTTTGTTTACTGTTTGAGGATGAGGGCATGTCACGCAACCTGTCCATGTTGACATCTGCCTAATTTGCCTAGTGACAGATAAATGTGTAGAAAAACACAGTAGTTTGATTGGATACTCAACAACAAGAGAAAACTTTTTTCCTCTGTTAAAAGCTGATAAATCTACTTATTGTGCTGTTTTGCATTTTATTATTTGTGTCTAACTTTGCTTTTCCCAGAACACACCTGCAACTGCAGCGAACCTCTCATAATGTACAAATTAAAACAATATTTGCTCTCTTTTGCCCAATAAAGATGTAAGTAGCCATAAACTCACTCTGTTTTGTAAGAATAGTTCTTCCTGTTTGGAAAAAAGTCTGATATTATTGATTTTGGTTCCTATGTGTTACCAACATTTTTTACCATGAAAGTTTGCGATTGATTGGACCTCACTTTGCTAAACAATAAACTATATATATATATATATATATAGAGAGAGAGAGAGAGAGAGAGAGAGAGAGAGTGTGTGTGTGTGTGTGTGTGTGTGTGTGTGTGAAATAACCAAAACATGCCTCACTCAGCAATGGCTCTGAACACATTCTAATTTCGACTGACCGAGTCTGATTCAAACGTCTAACTAGTTTAAGACTGATTCATGAGTCTTTTTGACTGACACATTACAAAGAGTATGTTCAGAGGAGTAATTTGCTGCTCATTCTGTTATTTGTTGATGCATCAAAGAAGCCCTGGTGCCTGTTCTTGCCTTTCTCACGAGATGTCAATGTTATTGCTACTAGATTTTTAATGATTGTTGCAAATAATTTTTTGTCGCATTTTTGACCATTGAAATCACTGTCTGGAGTCTTGTTTCGATACTATGGACTTCTCAAGGCAGCCTTCAGAGATGTTACTGCAGGTTATGGCTTTGACTAATGACACCATCAACAGCCCTGTGAGGACCTGCTTACAAAGGAGAGGTCTAGAAACAAAGTATAAAAAGTCTTATTTTGTCTGGCTGGTTGCCCAGACAGCAAGTGAAAACAAACATTGCTCACACACTCCCTATCGGGGACTTCAGACAGCCAGACAGCCAGACCTTCATGAACACTTTCACCTGTAACTCCCTGAAAAAGAGTGTGTGTGTGTGTGTGTCTGCTTTATACAAATTGACCAATGCCGTAAAAGTAAAGCACGCTCAGAAAATTTAATGTGTATCCCGTATGTTTGTTTTTTCTTTTCTTCTTCCTCTTCTTTTTTAAAAAATTTGAATTCAAGAGGCTAATTAAAACAAATTTATCATAAGGATGAAACTGCTCTATAATTCTTACCTGTAACTTATCCATTTTAGCGCATTTATAGCTCTTCTTTGCAGTCACGGAACCTTAAATTACACTTGTAAGAAACATAATTATTCTGATTTGTGAATGTGTTTATGTGTGTGCTTTCAGTCTGGAGTAAAAGGAAATCCAGGACATTAAAGTTTCTGGGATCACCATCCTGCCTGAATGGGTCTATGAGCAAGGCAAAGTTTAGCAGAGCACTACTTTACTAACCAAATTTAAGCAAATGTGTGACATTGACCATGTTAATTCCTTTGCACAAAAGGTCGGATGTTCTTGCTTCCACTGAAGCTCCAAAAGCTCTTGGAATCATTCTCAAATCAGTAACATGATCTTGAAGTTTTGCACAAATATTATTTAAGATAATATATTTTGCAATACATTTTTAATTAATTTTGAAAATATAAAAACATTTTGATTAAATTATTTTTATTTAATTTATACTTTAATTATGGAAGTCTGTTTCTGCCCCAGAATTAAAAAAAGAAAAAAAGAAAAAAGTAATTGTGACTTTTTATCTCACAATTTGGACTTTGTTTCTTGCAATTCAAAGTTTATGTCTTACAATTCAGACTTCTTTCTTGCGATTATGAGAAAAACATCTCAGAATTGCAATATATAAACTGACTTTTTTCTTGCAGTTCCAGGTTTATATCTCACAATTCTGAGATTATTACTTTTTTTTAGTTCACATCTTGCAATTCAGACTTTCTCTGAATTCTGAGTTTAAATCTTTGCAATTCTGAGTTTATATGATAATTGTATATATATATATATATATATATATATGTGTGTGTGTGTATATATATATATATATTTCTTATTCTGTGGCAGAAAAGACAGATTATTTATTATTTAATATTATTTGTCATTTATTCAATTATTTTCATTTGAAAAAATTTAAATGAATATGTCATTTTCAATCCTGCTACTTACAAAATGATGCCTTGATCACTAAATTGCCCCCTTTCCTCTCAGTCTCTATAGATCTGTTGACTGCTTGGATCAAAATTGATCCTGTTCTCAATTTAAAATGAATCTGAGGGAAATAATATTCTGATAATTGTTTTGAAGTCTCTGAACACTAGGTAACTTAGGCCTGAGCTGCAGCGAAAGAAAATAAGGCCCATGTGGTCATGTGTGCCACTTAATAAGGGACACTGGGTTTTGCTCTGAAGTAATCTGCCAGCTGGATGAGAAGCCAGAATCAAATATTTAGTTTGCTTGCTGCTCGGTCCAAATAAAGCATGTTTTCACCTTGCTGCCTGCATCGGCTTCCCACTATGACGGGTTTGCTTGCACCAATTAAGAATCATTCATGTTGAAATCTGCTGGCAATTTCATCCAACGTGGCTCTTGGGTTTTTTGTTCCCATTAGAATGCACAACATTTTTAAAACATATAATTCATGCAGCACGCATATATCAAACAAACTATTTATACAATACCTTTCATTAATCACTGATTGACACTTCACCTCATTGATGAAGTTGGGTGTAGGAACAAGGGGGTTTTGTTTTGAACGGAACTGTAAAGCAGGAAGAGAGTCTGGAAGCACTTATATGGCCTGACTGATTATGCCGGGTTGAGACTGCATGTGCGCTCTGTAGTGTTATTTAGCAGACTGCACAGCAATTAACTAATCACTCCGGCCTAGAAGCAGGTGATTATGCTACATCTCATTCAAACGTGCACCCGCCGTTCATACACTCTGAACATTGTTTTGCAACCTTTGTCTTATTTAACTGTTTGAAATGCATTATGCTTGCTTTTGAAAATGGCAATTTTGTTGCTTTATGATTCTTGAAGACCAGTCATCATTGTATATTTGTTGAAGAGTGATTCATTCTTCCTATTGGGTCAGTTGATAGTAGTATCTGAATAAGGTTAACTATTACCTAAAGCTTGCCTATCAACACACCTGTATTAGTGAATGAATCAACCCACTTTATAGAGTAGTTTTGCACTCGTACATGAAAAACTAGCACCTAGAGGCATCCATTAAGGGATTTTATTCATTCAACAAGATCTGACTGTATGACTTCATATAATAGGCATATACGTTGCTATTTCTGGCAAGTTCTGACAGTCTGACAATGAAATGTAGGTTCAGATGGATTGGGACACACCCAGTGTAAGTCTCTTTATCTCTTCAGTGGCTGGTGTTTCTTTTATTCAGTGCGAGAAGAAAAACTGCTTCGGAAATGTGCAAACAGTACCTGTCAGACTGCTAAAGAAAAAAAAGCCAAGTCAAATGACCTCCAGCAAAGGTCAGCAGCAGTAAGCCATTTGGTCATGTCTGGATGATAAAATGCCCGCATTGTAATTTAATATGTGTGCCATAGTAGTGCATCGAAGACAACCTCTTTAGAGAGCAACGAGATGTGTGCTAATGTATGTTACACAGTTAAAAAAAACATTAAAAAAAGAAAACTTATAAAAAGAAACTTTTTCTACTATAAAGAACCTTTTATGCAATGAAAAGTTTCCATGGATGATAAGCTTCTTCATGGAAATATCAATATCTATAAAGAACCTTTAATCTTAAAGGGGTCATATGATGTTGCTAAAAAAAAACATTATTTTGTGTATTTGGTGTAATGAAATGTGTTTATGCG